CGCGACAAGATATTTTACCGAGCGACCTTTACGAATGTGTGCATGCGTATAGGTGTTAGATATTTATGAATGACAGCCAGTTACATATCCACACGTTCTGAATTTAAAAGATAAAAAATTTTATACAACCGGCTTCAATATAAATGATTAAGGATAACTCAAAACTATTAGTCACACCTTGATCAAATTTATATGGGACCAAATGACAAGCACCAGCTTCCAAATAAAGAATCATCTGAAATCGGTTCAACTAGAAAAAAGTTATGAGGCAACACACATAAAAAAAACATAAAGTCGAATTGAGCACCTGCTCCTTTTTGAAGTCGGTAGAAAAGGACCGAGACTTTTTTAAATTAATTTTTCTTTACCATTCGCCTTTATCACTTATCCTGAACATTCTCTGCTAATTTCGGCCGTATATTGCAAAATATAGAGAAGATAATATATGATTCGGATTTAATTTTTTTATCAATAGCTAATCGAGAAATTTTGCTTTGCTTTATGTATCGTTAATCACCTTTTCTAAATCGATTTAAAATTGTTCCATCTCTAGACACGCTAAACTGTAAGTTCTCATCCTCACAATGCTATAAATCAATGACAACAATTGGATTCACCAATAATTTCTTTACTATGCCTAATGAGCTCTTCAGCTGTAACTTACAAGGACCGTTTTAAGAGGTTGGTATATGACTACTTTTTGAACAAACAGTACAAACTTATGTTGCATGATATAAACGATGGATTGTACTTTATGTTGATATGTAAGTATTTACGTATTAGTTTTATATGTATACATTTGGCCGTCGGAATAATTAAGTTTAAGTAAAGAAATAGAAAACGAAAACATTAAGTTACAGGCTACATAAGTCCCAATACCCTGTCAGAAATGAGATACAGCATGTATCTCATTTCTGACAGGGTTTCAAGCTCGGCTGCTTGCGTACAAAATTTAAAAGCGAGCGTTTATATTTTAGATTACGTAAACATGTGTATATTTTTCTACGTGGTAGGGCCATGCTGCAGCTATATTATGGTTGTAGCACGAATGGGTCGGCTCGAACGGGGAAGGACCATGCTTTCACAGAAAACCAGCGTAAAATAGCAGCTTAACGCTGCTGTGTTTCCTATGGTGAGTGTAGAGAACCGGAGACCTTTTTTACTGGCTAAGAGGCATTCCATCTTAGTCCTCACGGGCGACAACGCATCTGCATCTTGAGTCTTTATTGAGGATAGATGTAGATGTCTATGGATCACAGTAACCACTTACCATCAGGTGGACTGTGTGCTCGTTTGTCACTCGATCCTATAAAAAAAATGTTAGAAAGTTGTATAGAACAGGGTCTATTAAAATAATGTGTGAGCGCGTACGTACGTGCAGGATGCGTCCGCGTACGTTGCGAGTGTCGACGAGCTGCGGCAAGAGGTGCGGGTCGGGCGCGGGTGCGGGCGCGGGGACGGGCGCGAGCGAGGAGCTGGAAGAGGGGGAGGGGGCGGGCGAGGAGCTGGAAGAGGGGGAGGGGGCGGGCGAGGCGCCGCGCCGCGCCTGGCTGGCGCGCACCTGCTGCGGACTGGCGCCCCAGCACCACACCTGCCCCTTCGCTGTTAGCACCAACTGCAACCGTAATCTATTGTCACGACAGCCACTGAAAACATCCACGAATTTTTCTACCACCAGAACAACACCACTTAGAAATAACGTAAAATATTTAACAGGTTTTAAAACGGTACAGATAAGTGTTTCTCATTTTATATTAATTAGATTTGAAATATAAAAAAAAATATTTAAGATACAGCTTTTCAATGATGTGACCAACTGCGTAATAAATAAGTTTACCATAGTACCAACAAGCGACATCAAGTGAACGTAAAAATATTAGCTCTCATTGCGTGTTGACTCGAATAAGGTACCGAGACATCGCGATAGTACTGCAAGGGTACTGGAGGCAGCAAGTACTGTCCTCGGGACGTGCCTTCAAATAAAGCAAAGCAAGAGAGAAGCCCTAGTTGCGATTCGAACGCAGAACCCAGCACCCCTATTATATGTTGATGGTGACCACTGTGAGGTTTTATCCGGTAGAAGTCAGACGTGATCTCTCCTGAGCTGGCAGCGAGGCTGCGCGCAAACTAGTGGGTGTCGTGTCACGTGCACACTCACAGTATGAAAGTAGCCGACGGTGAGGTTACGCGCAAACTAGTAGGTGTCGTGCCGTGTGGAACTCACGGCTGGCGGCGATGCTACACGCGTATTAGTGGGTGTCGTGTCGTGTGCAACTCACGGTGTGGAAGTAACCAGCGGCGATGCTACACGCGTATTAGTGGGTGTCGTGTCGTGTGCAACTCACGGTGTGGAAGTAGCCGGCGGCGAGACTACACGCGAACTAGTGGGTGTCGTGTCGTGTGCAACTCACGGTGTGGAAGTAGCCGGCGGCGAGACTACACGCGAACTAGTGGGTGTCGTGTGCAACTCACGGCGTGGAAGTAGCCGGCGGCGAGACTACACTCGAACTAGTGGGTGTCGTGTCGTGTGCGACTCACGGTGTGGAAGTAGCCGGCGGCGAGACTACACTCGAACTAGTGGGTGTCGTGTCGTGTGCGACTCACGGTGTGGAAGTAGCCGGCGGCGAGACTACACGCGAACTAGTGGGTGTCGTGTCGTGTGCAACTCACGGTGTGGAAGTAGCCGGCGGCGAGACTACACGCGAACTAGTGGGTGTCGTGTGCAACTCACGGCGTGGAAGTAGCCGGCGGCGAGACTACACTCGAACTAGTGGGTGTCGTGTCGTGTGCGACTCACGGTGTGGAAGTAGCCGGCGGCGAGACTACACTCGAACTAGTGGGTGTCGTGTCGTGTGCGACTCACGGTGTGGAAGTAGCCGGCGGCGAGACTACACTCGAACTAGTGGGTGTCGTGTCGTGTGCGTCTCACGGTGTGGAAGTAGCCGGCGGCGAGACTACACTCGAACTAGTGGGTGTCGTGTCGTGTGCAACTCACGGTGTGGAAGTAGCCGACGGCGAGACTACACTCGAACTAGTGGGTGTCGTGTCGTGTGCGACTCACGGTGTGGAAGTAGCCGGCGGCGAGACTACACTCGAACTAGTGGGTGTCGTGTCGTGTGCGACTCACGGTGTGGAAGTAGCCGGCGGCGAGACTACACTCGAACTAGTGGGTGTCGTGTCGTATGCAACTCACGGTGTGGAAGTAGCCGACGGCGAGGCAGCGCGCGGGCTCGCTCAGCAGCACGCGCTGGGGCACGGCGCTCTTGTCGCGCGCGCCGCCGCCCAGCTGCCCGAACACGCCGGCGCCGCTCGCCCACACCTCGCCGTTCTTCATCAGCACCACAGTGTGGCACGCGCCGCACCCCACGCTCAGCACCTGGATGTAATGTAGCTCCTTCATTTAATTATAATTATTTTAAATGAAATAAATTTTGCGGTTTAAATATTGAGTTATGTGTACTACGTACTAGAGAAGCTATTCCAAACAAAAATTGTACGCTACTCTATGTCTTCGCGCATGCGCGGGAGATAGTAGAGTCGCGCATGCGCGAAGACTTTAATATAAAATAAGATACTAATATAAAATAAATATAAGAATTTAATATAAATACTCTAATTTAAATCTAAACTAACATATTTCTAAATAAAATGTAATAATAATTATCTTATGGAATTCACAAATCTTCAATTTACGCAATATCAAATTACAGATTGCAGTACAGTTCAGTTGAACCTAGGCAATGTTCAAAATGCGAAATCTAGTGCGTAGTACATAATATATATCGATGGGTTTAAACAAATTATAAGCATGCTTATATTGGACGCATACAGGCTGTAACTTTAATGTTGTTCAACATAATGTCTTGGAAAAGAGGTTTCTTCCGGAGTAGTGAAGCTCACTGCTGGACATAGGTTTCTCCAGTACTCGGAAATTTGCCTTATTCGTTGAGACTGAAGGTAGCCGGGCTAACTGTACGGGTTACCGCACAATAGTTAATAAAACATGCATTACTCACTAATTTAGGTCACTTAGAAACAACATTATTTGTTAATTACGCCCACATGTATAACTTCCATACTTCTGCTTATAGCCTTATACATCATTTTTATAATGATCATATAATTATAAAAAGTATATTCCTTTACAATAAAGTCAGTATTAGAACGACTTTCGTTGGGTTTGTTTCGTACATTAACTTAACCTTACATCTCGTTTTGCACTCATCTTGTAAATTGTAAACTATAGATACACTACACTAACTATGACATCGGGACGTCAAACTTCTCAATCCCCGCGTGACCATGAGTGCTATAAAGCACTCGAAACGTCGGGAATTAAAAATAAGTTAAATTAAACACGATTAATAGCGTAAAATTAGCTTCATTTACAATTACAATAACCTTTAATGTACACAAAGAAAAAAAACAAATAACATAACAAGAAACAGAGAGAAAAACAAAAGGCGGTCTTATTGCTATACAACAATTTATTCCAGATAACCCAAAAAGGAAACAAAGAGAAGTGAAAAGTTAATTAAACGGTGGAGTACACTATAAATAATATTACAATCTAATATACAGGGTTATTTTGCAATAACCGGCCAAATTTGCAGAGGAGGTTCAAAATAAGTAATATGGACAACTGGTGAAGAAAAATTAATTTAGAAATATCTCAAATATTCTGTCCTTTTAATCTTTTAAATTCAAAATGCGTGGTAATGCATTAATTTAATTGATTTTTACTGCGAACGCACACATTCGTAAGGGTCGATCGGTAGGCAAAAACGTTGTTACCCATAAATCACATTCAATTTGGTATACTTACTTATCTTCACGCACAATCCCTGACGGGGTAGCCAGAGAGAACAGATCACCAAGTGTCACGATCCTTACATACCTCTTTCGCTTTCGTATCGTTTCAACCGTCGGTCTGTGTGGTCGCTTTTGCGGCGTAGTCTGTGATTTTTAGTGTAGCTCCAGTTAATCCAAGTTAATCTACAATGGCGGACCAGCTGACAGAAGAACAGATTGCGGAATTCAAAGAAGCGTTCTCACTGTTCGACAAAGATGGCGATGGTACCATCACCACCAAGGAGTTGGGCACCGTGATGCGATCCCTGGGACAGAACCCCACTGAAGCAGAGCTTCAAGACATGATCAACGAGGTTGATGCAGATGGTAACGGCACGATAGACTTCCCCGAGTTCCTCACGATGATGACGCGCAAGATGAAGGACACGGATAGCGAGGAAGAGATCCGCGAAGCCTTCCGCGTTTTCGACAAGGACGGCAACGGATTTATATCCGCCGCGGAACTGCGCCATGTAATGACCAACCTTGGCGAGAAGCTCACAGACGTAGAGGTGTACGAAATGACCCGCGAGGCGGATATCGACGGCGACGGTCAGGTCAATTACGAGGAATTCGTCACCATGATGACGTCGAAGTGAGCCGCCGGCTAGTGTGTGTGTAAAAAGCAGAGAATTTAAATATACATTTTGTTTCATGACACATAATATTACCATCGTATTGGACCTGCATTTCTCTAGTGTTTTCAATTTGGTATAATATTTAAATAAAATTTTAAATAATAGTAGAAGCCTTATTTACTCGTATTTTCAAAAAATGCAATAACGGTGTATCATTAGTTAATAATTTGAAATTAAGTTCAAAATTTGGCTACTCTGAAAAATGACCCCGTATAAGAATTAATATTAGTTTGTTTGTATTTTATGCGCTGTCATACCGTTCATTAGAATGCGCAAAAACTTGTCAACTTATTGCTTGCACTTGAGCGAAGGTTATAGGCATAGTACAATTAATTTACAGTAGGTGGCGCGCGTATCGCACTGACATATATTTATTTGATATATATATATATATATATATATATATATATATATATATATATATATATATACTCCCTAAGCGGCTGGACCGATTTTTATAAACTTTTGTGTGTGGACCCGGTAGTTGGCGTTGTTGTCGAGATGCAGAAATCAACCGTGAGAAGCCAGGGCGGATCGCTAGTCCGGAACATACCGGAAATTTACTTCATTGACAGACTATATTCAAACAAATCTAACAAATTCCTTTTGACGTTTCACATTAATCATTCCGCAAGAACTTTGTACAAGCGTACTCACACGATTCAAAATAACCTTTTATGTAAATCCAAAGAATGATCAAAATCAAAATCAGAATTTTTTATTTGCGTAAGAACATGGTATATAATAAAGGTGGTACATGTTAAAAAGGTGCACATGTCTCGCTATTACAAATAGCATGCAAAATTAATATTATTATTTTTCAATTATAAACATAAAAATAATATCACAAAGTTTAAGTCTCATTACAATAAATTACATTGAATTGATGAAGTTATCTTTATTTCATTACATGTATAGTTCCTTTTCACTTATTTAAATTGTAATCTTTCAAACAAAGCAAAATATAAAAAGATATTAACCAGAATCAACTTTTTGCTTGACGTTTTTTCAATGATGTATCGTTATGTACCTTACATTAGTGTTTGAATTATTCAAGTTTATGTAATGCGAATAATAAATGGCACTCTAGTATCGAGTAGCAGAACTAGAAGATTCAAGATCCTTCTAGAAATATCGGGACCGATATGTACTCGAACATTCTAGATGTTTCTATAGTAGAAGTGTGTATGCATCTGCAGCACCTGATTTAGGTGCTCTGATAATGATGCTGCAGGAGCAAGCTCGTCGACAGGAGGAACAGGCCCGCCGACAGGAGGAATAGGCCCGTCGGTTGGAAGATCAGCTGCAGCGCAGACAGGAGGACCAAGCCCGCCAACAGGAGCAACAGGCCTGTCGGTTGGAAGAGCAGCTCAAACGCGATAAGGAAGAGCAGATGCTGCTCATAAAGGACCTTCACGCTACCTTCGGGAAAGAGATAAGGGAGGCGAAGGATAGGGTTGCTCAATATGATAACCTTCTGTCGGAAGCTGAAACCCGAATCGACCAAGTGAACAATCGGGTTGAGAACATGATGGCTAACGTGAAGAAAACGCTGGTGGACCTAAAACTTGGGGATGGAATTACAGCTCCCGTAGTAGCTACAACACCTTCGCTACGTGGATTCAAAGTGCCAATGTTCGACGGGACTTCTTCCTGGTCGGCCTACAGAATCCAGTTCGAGGCTGTCATGAAGGCAAACTGTTGGAATGAAAGTCGGGCCATGACTGCTCTCACATTAGGCTTCTGGAAGCTCTCGGTAAGGAAGTGACTTACGAGCAGCTCCTTGAGGCATTGGAGGCGAGATATGGCGACGCTCACCTGGAACACGTCTTTCGTGCGCAGCTCAAAGTTCGCGTGCAACGCAGCAACGAAAACCTGCAGCAGTGGGCCCTTGAGGTGGAGAAGCTGGTTCGGAAAGCATACCAGTCTGTAGCTGCGCTTATTGTAGGGAACCTGGTGCAGACATTCATCGACGGCATCCTCGACCTTGAACCTAGAGCTGCTGTGAGGCTCGGGCACCACGAGATACTTAAGGACGCGTTGGCCCATGCACTGGAGATGGAAGCCGTGCAGTAGCATCATCGTTCCCATCGCGTCAGGGAGGTTGAAGCAGCTACAGTTCGCGACCGCAATAAAGGATACAACCCTAGGTGCTACGGCTGTGGGAAAAGGGACCATCTTCGATCCAGCTGCCCTAAGCTAACTGTAGAAAGGGGAGGTGACCGATCTCGAGAGGGTAGTGTGGCTAACAGCACCGCTCAACAGCAGCAGGGAAACTGGCGGGGACTGGCGCGTTATTATGGGGCCAATAATGCTCGGGACGAGCATATCTTAGGAGGGGGCAGTGTTGCGCGCAAGTATTAATGTCTTGTACATGGCAACACTAGTTACCAATAGCGCCCTCTAGTATCGAGTAGCAGAACTAGAAGAGTCAAGATCCTTCTAGAAATAATACTTCGAAGTGAAATAACTGCGAACTAAAGTGATCAGTAGTACAATTGTGTTTTATTATTAGTGTGGTTTTATATTGTAATTAGTGTTCTGTAATTAAAGTGTCTATTTTGGTAATTCAATGGGGAGTTTTTTAATTGTGTAGAACCCCAAGTTCGTAACAATAATATACATCTATAGGATTTAGCCTGCGAGAGAATGAGATAAAATACAGTATAAAGTGTTTCCTATTATCTCGGTTTCCTCTTTGTGCGGTGCTTAAGGTGGTTAATATTACTTTTAACTTTTAACATAAACAGTTTAAAAAAATAACAAATTTGTCAAAATTAAGTATATTGAATCAAATTATGATATCCAATCCATTCATAATAACTTATCAATTTATATTAAATTAGTCGTGTTTAGGCCATCTAACGTCTATTTTACGTAACACCTTAAGAGTCATTCATTTTTTGATCAATAAAATGAGTTTATCTAAAGAATGTCGTAGATGGCGCTATATACAAAGCGATTTTACTCGAAAGAAAATATTCTTTTGATTTATTACATTAAAATTTAGGCTCTACATATCTAGAAATAAGTACTGTAACATTTGTTTGCTATAAAATTAAGCTTTTATGTTATATTTTATGCCGCACTTGTAGTTGAAACCTACCATATTAAATACTACCATTTTCCGTGAAATATTTTTATTTTATATTTGATTTAATTTGAAGGTTTCACTTTACCGGGTGTTAACTGCCACACATGTTTTCTTTTATTTATTTTTTATCTGTTTATTTAAATTTTTATTTTTGCAGTTGCGAAATTATATGTATTGTGTTTACACATTAAACAAGTCTATTTTTTATAATTTTTTTGAATCCCATTGCAGCGACGATATGATTAAATTTAGAAGATGCCGGCTTGTGCAATAGTCATCATCATCATCATTACAGCCCTTCACAAGTCCACTGCTGAACATAGGCCTCCCCCAAAGAATGCCACAAAGCACGGTCCTGAGCCACCTTGATCCATCGACTTCCTGCATATCTTACCAGGTCGTCACTCCATCTAGTGGGGGGACGCCCTACACTTCGCCTGCCGGTACGAGGCTGCCACTCGAGAACCTTTCTTCCCCATCGGTTGTCGGTTCTTCGAGCTATATGGCCGGCCCATTGCCACTTCAGCTTACTACTCCGTTGGGCTATGTCGGTCACTCTAGTTCTACTGCGGATATCCTCATTTCTGAGTTTATCACGCAGAGAAACTCCGAGCATAGCCCTCTCCATAGCTCGCTGAGCGACCTTGAGCTTCCTCATCCGGCCAGCAGTGAAGGACCACGTCTCAGTTCCGTATGTCATCACTGGCAACACGCACTGGGTGTACAGTCTCGTTTTCAAGTTTTGAGGTAAACCTGACGAGAAGATGTGCCGTAATTTCCCGAACGCTGCCCAACCGAGTTGAATCCGTCGATTGACCTCTCGGTCGAAGTTGGACTTACCTAGTCGGACTATTTGTCCCAGGTAAACATACTCGTCAACAACTTCGAGCTTAGTGTTCCCAACAACTACCGGCATAGGTGTGACATGGACATTAAACATGATCTTTGTTTTGTCCATGTTCATCTTAAGACCTATCCGTTGGGAAACACTATTGAGGTCATTGAGCATAGTGCTTAGGTCCTCCAGCGATTCTGCCATAAGGACTATATCGTCGGCAAATCGAAGGTGAGTGATGTACTCGCCATTGATGTTGATACCGTATCCTTTCCAGTCCAGAAGCTTGAAAACATCTTCCAATGCAGCGGTAAAGAGTTTCGGGGATATGACGTCACCCTATCTTACACCTCTCTGCAATTGGATAGGTTTCGTACTCTGGTTCTGTACTCGGATAGCCATCGTAGCCCTACTGTACAAGCACTTCAACACTTCGATATACCGACAGTCAACTTGGCATCGCTGAAGGGACTGCAGCACCGCCCAAATTTCGACGGAATCAAAGGCTTTCTCATAGTCCACATACGCCAGACATAGTGGCAAATTGTACTCCTCGGACTTCTGTACAATTTGCCGAAGGGTATGTATGTGGTCTATGGTGCTAAAGCCTTTTCGGAAACCGGCTTGTTCGGGAGGCTGGAAGTCGTCAAGTCTGCGCGCGAGACGATTCGTAATGACTCTCGAAAACAGCACGTAGACGCGGCTCAGAAGGGAAATCGGTCTGTAGTTCTTCAAGAGAGCGTTGTCGCCTTTCTTGAAGAACAAGACCACCGCACTTCTGCTCCACGCCTCCGGTGTAATGCCACCATGGAGGACGGAATTAAAGAGCTTCTGAAGGACTTCAAGTACCGGTTTTCCACCCGCTTTCAGAAGCTCCGCTGTAATTCCATCCTCGTCTGAGGCCTTGCCGTTTTTAAGGTGCTGGAGAGCCATTCTAATCTCGCTCAGACTGACGTCCGGGATATCATCGGAATAATGTCGGATAAGACTCGCTCTTGGATCGTTACTCACACTTGCGTGCGGCTCCAACGA